TAAAAGCGAATTTGTGTCACGGTGTAAATAGGTAAACTTCAGATTTAAAACAATTACCAAATTCTATGTCCGCCAATAAAAAAAAATTAGTTTCCAGGTTTCCACCTGAATGTGGGATGTCTGTCAACCCTGGTGCCTGAGCGGTAGTGCTACAGTCTAACCAGCGTTACCACTCAACGATCAACGATTGTACACGTACCGGGTAGGGATACGGAAAACAGAGTAATCAAAGTAATCATTTCGTGCTTGGATTCGTACTCGTTATTTCGGGTATCTATGAGTAACGAGTACTCGAGTTTCGTATGATTACTCTTTCAACACCACTACCCAGTGGATCAAACTCTGCCAACTGTCGAAATAAACTTTATTAATTCCAAGTCTTATCTTTGTTTTAGTGTGCATGCTTAGATATTCAAATACGGCCAGGAATTATTAGCGCCTGGCTATTTTAGGCCTTCAATAACCCCTTATTTTAGATCTCTCCTTATTTTGTTTTTTCCACGCATTCATGGTAGAAAGAAAAATATGTTTTCGAATATCGATACCATATACCGTGTAGCAGGCACGCCCATCACTACTTTGACAGATTGCAGAATGATGTCAAGGTGACAATCATTATGTGTTTTTGTTTTTGTCTGAAATAGGCAAGTAGGCTTTGTGTATCCATTTTTATTTGTATAGCGTTTCCAGAATTTCATATTTCGAAACGATGTCAACGGCCGGCAGGGGAAAATCTTTCTCTATCGTCGCCATCCCTATATTGTATCCCCACCAGTCACCAGTCAAAAACCTTAACCACCAATATTTTATCACTATTTATAATTCTTTTTAGCACTTATTTTTCAGTAATTACTAATAATTTTAGGTCTATGTCTACAGTAATTGCATTATGCACCTCGGAGATGTGGGGATTAACATGTTTTATACATATCGGTGTTTTAGGATGGGGACGACCATACTGTTTGAATTGCTTCGAAGAAATTCATTAACCCATGAATTTATAACAAATGATTACTATTATGGTGTAAAGAGAGATGAGGAAATGGTTGGAATACATTTTATATTCTATTTTCTTGCAAATCCGCACAATTCAACAGGTATGTGTAGCTATAATGATCACATAATATACACACAGTATATTGAACTTAACAAATTTCGAGATTGAAATGAATTAACAAACGACCAAACCTGCTGCCAAATTTAACAGCTAGAAAATCGACCTATTATTTCTCCCATTCCCATTCGCTGAGGGGATAACGGATTGTTAAATGTAAACCTATAACATATATCAAAATACTTGAAAGTTGTCTTGTTTTTTCTGTACAAAAACATCATGTTGGAATCAAAAAGTGGTCTTGTTTATAATACAGTCGAATTTTCACGATTTTATTCAACATTTTAATAGAAATAACTGATATTCTGAGACATTTGACAGCTTCCGTCAAATTGCATTTCGATAAGGTATTTTCCTATTGGTCCATAATAATAATGTTGGTGAAATCGGCCCTAAGATTAGCCAAAAAAAAATTGTTAATCGGGCCGAATAATCCGCATAGTTTTGAAAATTGGTAGAGCTATTCCTTGAGGTGTCCGGATAAACATCCTAAACTGTGGGAGGGCTGGGAGGAAGGACCTAGGGGCTTAGATTTCAAAGGAAGGCCACAAGAGCCATAGTGAGCCTTCTAGCAGTACTCTGTCGTCTTCAGGCAGAGCATAGGGAGGGCCACATATGAGCTGCAGAGGCATGTAGGCTTGCAAGTTAACTGCTTTTATGTACTCTGTAATCTGCAACGCAAAAGCTTAGGTAGTACCAGTGACACCTAAAAAAAATGCTGAAAACGTTAGACGTCTTATTTAAAAAAACATTGATAAAACAAAATAAACGGTCGAAGTTCAAATTCTAGCTACAGTGCGCAAATACCCAAATACTATTGGTGACAATTGGAAAAGGAGGGCGGGTTTCCTTTTCCAGCTGCCAATGTAACCTGCTTCAGTTTATTAGAAAAAACGGTAGGCATGAACATCTAGCAGGAAGCATATATGAACGAAGCTTGCGCAGTAAAAACTTTTGAAACGATTTTGGAGATTGCCGAAAAAAGTAAGGGCTCGAAAATCCCAGAGCAGTCCTTACGCTAGCATTAAACATATTTCCGAATTGCTATTAAAAGTTGATTACGGTTTCCAAGAAACGAAACGTCGCACTGAGAACATGTGAACGTGATTTTTTTAAATAAAAAACTGGTAATAGAAAAACTTTTCATTTGCAGAAAATCTAGACGATCCTAAAGTGAGTTGAGACCTATATCAGCTATTCAAGTTTGTGTTTTACGATAAGCAGTTCACCCAAGGTTTGTTAAATTAAAGTAAAGAAACAAATCTCTAGATAACAACACTACAGAATCCCTTGTTACACAAAAGCGAACGCGAAACACGTTCCCTAAGAAATCCAAGGTGTATATGAGCTCCCCAAGAAATATACATGCGAGAGTTTACAGCGCGGTACAGCTCGATTTATAGCAGACGAAGTTCCGAACAATTTGCAACTTTTGTGGCGAAGCGATGGTGCTGCGCTAGTATACAAACGGAACGTCGACATTTTAAACATCTCTCTTGCTGTTATCGCAACAAATACGACTATTAACGAAACAACCAAACAGAGTGTAGGGCACACCGTCTGTTCGATTCTCGTTACTATATTATGTTTATTAGTATACAGAGTTATTCATTCTATAATATCGTTGAAGCCTGAAACTAAACAATAGACTCGTGTAACCTCTTGAGACTTATGGTAGATGAAAATTTGTTTGTCTTGCGTCACTGCTTCAGAGATGACGCCTACTTTATTGACACTTCTCAAAGCAATTCCAGCAGATGCAGTAATAATTTTTGCACATCGAAGTCAACGATCAACTGGTGCCAAACCAATAACATACATGTATCACTTGTTACATAGACAGGCAGCTAAATACGATCCTCCCGGGGGGTGACACGGACCTCGCTTTGTCTCAGGAAGACAAAATGTATGATTTATGTGGTACAAGTATTCGTGAATCGTAAATTAAATGTGATGGTGAGAGTTGCAGTGTCTCGATGCATTCTAAATGCTTTGAAACTGCAGCAAAATTGTTCGTTATTGAGCGTAAGTCTTGGAAGTGCAGGAGCTGCACAAGCAAGCTCAAACCACCTTTCGCCTTCCCTGTCTCGGATCTTGCAGTACTCCAGCTGGAAGTTGACCATTTGAAGCGTGAAATTGATGTGTTAAATAACCTGAATGGAGAATTGAAATCTAATAATGGTTTATTGAAAGAAAAAATTCCATCCATGAGCCTTTCATATGCTACAGTAACAGCAGGAAGATGTCAAAGTGATACAAAAAGTGGCTGTGTTTCTTCATACTCTGTAGCATCAAAAACTAACAATAACAAACCATCAGCTGGTGTGATGATTAAATCAGAAAATATATCTCTTCTTAGGATTAAGCTATCTCTCCCTATTATACTACCTTAGTTGACCCATATTATCAATCTGTGTCTTGAGAAGGGCTACTTTCCTAAATCTTGGAGACGAGCAACAGTAAGGCCAATGCCTAAGGTCAGGAAGCCCACAGATTTCTCAGATCTAAGGTCCATCAGTCTTCTGAGTATTTTGTCAAAGATCTTGGAGAAACTCATTGAATTGCATATCTTAGATTTTTTAGAGTCAAGTGACATACTCCCAGTACATCAGTCTGGGTTTCTTTTAGAAAATCATACAGTACTACAACTGCTCTTATTAATTTAGTGGACAACATCATCAGGGCCCTTGATAAAAACATGTGTGTCGCCTTAGTTTCACTGGATTTCTCCAAGGCCTTTGACAGAATTGATGTGTGCTAAGCTAAAATTTTATGGTTTTGATAAAATAGCAATGCAGTTTTTTAAATCATACCTAACCCGCCATTCTAAGCGCGTCTCACTTTCTGGAGTTTTGTCAAATGAGCACCTTATTACTTCTGGTGTGCCTCAGGGCACAATTTTAGGACCTCTGTTATTTTTAATTTATGTAGCCGATATTGCTAAGTCCATTCAAAAGTCACCGCTACAGTCTTATGCGGATGACACTCAACTGCTTTAATTCTTTTATCCTGAGAACATCCAGACTGCTACTATGGAAATTAACGAGGACATTGACTCTATTTGCACCTACTCAGCCAATAACAACCTAACCGTTAATGCTTCTAAATCTTCTGCTGTGCTGTTTTGTCCAAATCACAGAAGAGCCGAAGTCAAAGCTTCATTGGGTAGAGTAAAACGGGGAAATATGCCGCAACGGGTAATACGCCTCACTTCGCTCATAGTGCACTCCGACGGTTACAGAGGGCACCTACCACATTAATCTGTCGCCATAAATGCAAGCAAGCCCATTACCTTTGAATGTGTGTTAATTACTGGATTTAGTGTAAGATAGACCCAAAAAACCGGTAAGTACAAACCAAAAATTATTTTTATATGTGATATGATAAGAATTTTTTCAAGTTTTCGTGGTCCGATTTAAATAATCCTTATTGCTAGGCAACGTAAGATCCATAACCTAACTTTTAACACATGTACCGCTTCCTGGATTTACACGGGGTTTGTGCGTTTCAGTTGAAATGTTACTGTTACGCAGTGGGGCAATGTGCCGCATAAAAGTGACGGTGCGCCATATTACCCCATTTATTTTTTTCATGTGACAGATCCTAATGTGGTGCGTTTTTCTGCTTATTTCAGATTAACACAATGCCACGTTCTTATAGTCGAAGAAATGTAAGAGTTCAATGATCAGAAGAAGACCTTCGGAATGCAGTATCTGATATTCATGGAGGTAAAGGATCGGTTCCAGAAATAAGTCGTACTTATAATGTTCCATTTAGAACCTTAATGAGAAGAATGCGGTCGCGAAACTTGAATAAAGTGGCATTAGGTCGCAAAAGCTTACTCCGTATGGTACAAGAAACAAGTCTAGTCAAATATATAAAAAACATGTCATCGCACGGCTTTGCTTTATCTGCTCATGATATGAAAAAGCTTGCATATTCTTTTGCGATCCAACAAAATATTCCACATAATTTTAATACCGAACGAAAAAGGGCAGGTCAAGATTGGTTTCTCACCTTCATGAGACGACATCCTGAACGGGCAGTACGTAAGGCTCAAGGAATGTCTACTGCCAGAGCCAAAGGCATGACGAGACAAGAATGTACCCAATATTTCGAACTACTAGGAAACGTTTTGAGAGAAAATAATTTACTTAATAAGCCTCAAAACATTTTTAATCTCGATGAAACTGGATTGCAGTTAAATAATAATCCAGGCAAAGTTATGGTAACTAAAGGCACTAAAATGGTAAACTGTATCACGAGTGCTGAAAAGGGAGAAACTATTTCCGTTATAACGTGTGTAAACGCAGAAGGCAGTTTTTTCCCTCTGTGCTGTATATTCAAAGGGAAAAACAAAAAAAAAACGAATTTGAAGATGGTCTACCACCTGGAGGAAAGGTTGTTATGGGCGAGAAGTCAGCTTATGTCACATCTGAAATTTTTTTCCAATGGTTTCGTGAATTTTTTGTTCCGCGGAAAGGTGCCGGTAAGGTTCTATTAATTATGGATGGACATTCTTCGCACTGTTCTAATGTCGAACTGTTGGATTTTGCTGTAGCGAGTAACGTCATCCTGTTTTGTTTACCCAGCCACACCACACATTGGCTTCAACCGCTTGATCGCTCATTCTTCAAACCCTTAAAATCTTATTGGGCTCAAACTTGTCAAAACTGGGTTCATAACAATCCTGGTCGAAAACTGAACCGATTGCAGTTCGCCCAACTTTTAAATATTGCCTGGTGTAGGGCTGCAACAATTCAAAATGGGACTTGCGGTTTCAGAAGCTGTGGGATTTACCCTTTTAATACCGAAAAAATTCCCGATTATGCTTTTACCATTAACGACGAACCATCAGCTGAAGACAAACACAACCCACATGACATTCTCAGTGAGGAGCAAAACGACCACAGACCAGGTAGTGTCATTGCAGTCAACAACCCCGAAAATAGAAACCCCTTTGAAGCAATTTCACCGGTTCCATGCGTGGAACCAGGACCAAGTGGCTATAGACGAAAACAATATGCCGAAATACTAACTTCGCCAGAAACAATTTGTGCAAAACGAGCAAAGGAAGAAGCAAAAAGAACAAAATTAAAACAAAAAGAAGAACGGAAAAAAACGCAAAGTATTGTTGAGCATAGGAAGAAAACGGTAGTTCCAAAAAAGAAAACTAAAAAATCACCAAGCCCGAATTCGTCAGACACCGAAACCGAGGTAGTAACCCAAGAAAGCGACGATTCAGAAATCGATACTGATGAGTCAGAATTTTGTCCAGCATGTCATGGGTATTTTTACGATAAAAAAGGTCCCAAATGCGACTGGCTCCAATGCGTAACATGTTTGAAATGGGTCCATGAAATATGTACGCAATCTGACAGGTTTTGCGAAGAGTGTACGCCGTTATCCGAAATAGCTACCAAGACAAAATCACATTAAAGGATATTTACCAGTATACCTAAGTATGTTAACAGTTACATTATTAGGATTATCTGTCTTTTTTTTACTTTTTGAGTGTTTTCATTGGAAATTAAAGTGTATTTTTGCAATTTTCAGCATTTTCTATAAAAAGTTGAATTGCCTAATTTTTACGTTACGAAAACATGTTGCCTTATTACCCAGAGCTAGATGCCATATTACCCATAGGTGCGGGTAATATGGCAATAGTGAGTCAGACATTTTTGATTATAGTGTTTTTGTCGATGGGAACAGGGCAAAGAGAGTTTTCACATCGCAAACCTGCATGTGTAAGCTCTAAGGTTCAATAATCTTATTGCGACTAGGTCCGATGGAGGCCAGGATGTGAGCGTTTCAAATTTATGTTGCCATATTTCCCCGCTTTACTCTATATGTATTAACAATCAAAATCTTTCTTTTTCTGATAGTGTCAAGTGTCTAGGTGTGTTAATTGATGAAAACGTACGGCTTCGTGAACATTTGAATAACCTCTTACAAAGAAGTTACATCCGTCTGAGAACTCTGTATGCGAACAAAAATTTGCTGAATTTTAAAGTGCGAAAAAGTTGTGTGAATCTTTTGTTGTTATCAATTTTTAATTATTGAAATCTAGTTTATCATCCTTGTTTGGATGTTGCGAGTCGTAACAGAATGTCTGTAGTACAAAATAATTGCGTACGATTTATATTTAGTTTAAGAAAATTTGATCATGTTTCGGATCGTTATCCTTTAGTAGGTTGGTTAAAGATGACAGATTTAGTTAGATACAACTATCTAACCTTCATACGTAAGTTACTTGTCTCTGGAACTCCAGTTTATTTACGTAAAAAACTAATTTAGGTATAATGTTCATCAACGACCTATATGTAACACATTCGCTTTAACAATGCCCCTCCATAGTTCCTCTCTTTTTAATAGGTCCTTCTCATACAATGCATGCATGTTGTACAATAGCCTAGATTACAGAACAAAAAGCCTGCCACTGTGTAGTTTCAAAAAACTCACTTAAAAGCTCTTCTGTTTAATGGTGCTTCTTAAAGGTGTTTTTCTCCAGCATTATATTTTTGAGCTTCTTTTGTTTAGGTTGTGATCAGTTACATGGGCATTTTCCTCCTTTTATTTTCTTTACAGCTGTACTTTTTTACCACCTATTATTTTTATGCAATAAATGGTTAAGTGTAAGAATAGCTGTCATAGCTAAACTTCAAGATTAAGCTGCTCACTAATCTAATTCTAGATAATATGCATTAACTGTAATTTATTTTTTTAATAAAAGACGGATTATTATTATTATTATTATCGGTAATATTTTCTCCTTCACATCTTGTTCCAAAAGTAAACTTCATAGTATCCTGCAATCCACAAATCCTGCTATTGAAATGGTGGTTGCGGTAATTCAGGCAAGTATTTACAAAACGGCCATCGCGCCGTTTCGTCTCAAGCCGTGTGAACTATCCGAATAGTGGGAAATCTACACTCGGGAATGCGATTTTTCTCCCAGTAAAAATGCCGATTTTGATTGGCGTGGTACCTGAGAGGCGTTAACTGCGACTCGTGCTTGTTCGATGTATTGAGAATTTGTAGAAAACGTATTTTATCAGCCGCAGTAGATGATGTGAGAAGCTGGGTGGGCTGTATTTTCCACCATTCGAGCTCCTCACTTCATACGAACGTCGGATAATACCTAGCTAGAAATACTGATCATATAAAGCATTGAAGATTCGTTTTATGTTTTAAGGTAGGAGGTAAGAATTCGTGGACTTGTGAACGTTGCCTGCTTGGCTGTGCCTCATTTCATCATTTCTAGGCCTAATATTACGTTAGGGGCACAGATTAACCGACCATTGTGTTAATAAACAATAGCCTTGATTCCTGCACATAGATCACTACGTACACCACATTATTATGTTGTGTACAGTCAAACGCTTCTGCCTGGTTCCCCGTTGACATTTAGTGAGAGAGGGTGGGAGTGTTTTGTCGAGATTTATCAGTTGTTAATTTTCGCGCCCGCACCCCCACATAACTTTGGGAGGGTGTGATATACTATAGAGAGATATGAGAACAACGTGCTCTGCGTCACAAGCAGTGAAGTCAGCGGCTATGTGAGTTGTGAGTGAGACGGAGATATAGTTAGATAAAATGGGAATGTGGACAATGTTGATGCTGTTCACCCCTGCTGTAGGGAATTATGGCAAAATGTATTAAATGAGGTTAATAACTTTGGTCCAACTAAACATTGCTTAGATCAAATAACTGGGTACAAATATGTCAGGTACCACACGCACCATTGGCTAGATGAATTTGAACCTGAAATGTCGTTAATAATATATATAGGTGAAAAATAAAGCTTCCACCTTTTGTTATGTACTTCGACAAAATTCAAGCAAACTCAGGACTCTTTATACTTTATTAATCTCTAGCTTTCAGTGGACTTCACCTTCTTCATCAGGAGCTGCAATAACATTGGGAAGAAATAGCAACTACAGTGCAAAATGATTTTAAATCAACTTACAGTCTTATATGAGATTGTTGCTAAATGTGATTAACGTTCAGGTTGAAGGAAATAACTAGTAACCTGGTGAATGCTGGATACATGGTACATTCGGCAAAATTAATATAAACTACACACAGCTGTATGTCAGGAACAAATTAAAACGGATTAAAAATATTTAAAACGAAAGTTAAAATTACATCGTGAACCACCTGATGCTGCACAAGATGGTGGGCACAGGATCACATGTAGGATGAAACATTTGACAGGTGACAGAAAGTTGGTGGTGTCAGTGTCGATGGATGGAACGAACATTTGTAAAGTGTGTACTATGTTGCCAAATCACTTCAGATGGTGTAATTTATCAAGATATGTTAAATAAGAACTTGTCAGCAGACCACAGGCAGTTGAACAAACTGTATTGTTGATGAGATGGACAAGTGAATTAAATATCCGCTTCTAGGAGTCTAATTTCAACGCGTAAAAAATCTGGAGCGACTGAAAACATTTAGACTGCAGAGGAAACCAGGGAACCAAGTACAAAGTTAGATAATTAAACCTTAACGCCTTAAACATATCTTCAACTAAGTATCAATGGAGTATATGCGAACTCCAAATTTTGTGGTTGTACGGCGCCTCATAGTAAATTTCGCGAAACTGAAAGAATTCTTTATTGTAAATGAAAATTAAAGGTATTGGTATTTGAAAATTGGAAGTTACTAGATAATGTAGAGCCAAATTGCCTAAAATTATTTTTTTTCTACTAAGGCGAATAAATATATGTAGGTGCTATGGCCATATAGGCAAATGAAACTGGGTTCTGCAGTGATTTGTGCTCTTTACTTAATTCTCCATACGAACTAATTTTAGATAACTGTCAAAGGAGAAGAAACTAATTTGCTATGACGCAACGCATTGCCCGTATAATTCGAGATTCGGAGAATATCGGTACTCCACAGTATCTATAGACGTAGCTACGGTTTACAGACAGTTCTACTTCCCAAACCAGCAACAATAGAGCCATTGCCGACGCATCTCATGGGAAGAAAGTTTACATACCGGACTGCCAGACAGCCCCGCTGAATTGAATACAGAATGAACTCCACTACGATCGTACAGGAGAAATGAACCTGTAGAAATTACCACTTTACACATGGGAGAGGCCTAGTTTTGGAAACGATCTGACAAGACAACATTGCGCATTTTGTATATCAGTGCTCAAGAAATGCCACACCCTTTCAAAGATGGAAATCAATTGTTTTATCGAAGTCAATAGTTTGTTAATCTAGACATTCACCATGGCTTCTTCATCTTTTTTCTGTGTCTTGTCAAATGTCTTTAACGTTTTCAATTGTATTGGCGCGATGTTTGCAATTTACAGTTAGCCTGAAGCCCCGCATTTGTCTAATTTGTCTAATCTCGAACGTTCCTTTATTAAAGAAATATCTTTATTTTACTAATCGTTTGATCATTTGCAAATGATGTAGAACAGGTCGTATAGAAAAATATCGGATCTGCAAGCATGTAGGAATTATTGCCTAAAAAATAGCATCAAGTAGGTTTACTCTGCACTTCCTACATGACGCAGTCATAAGTTCATTCAGTTCAGCACAAGTTAAACCATCTGAGAAAAAAATTAGCTGCATACCTACATGTTCAAAATTAAACCATTCAAGTCAGTCGAACCATACAATTAGTCCATAGATATTGCTTCCCTGCTATACTGGTAGCTACTGTTCGCCTGGCAACGTTGCCCCTTTCCATATGGTCAGATGCAGTGGCGATCAGCGAAGTACCGCCACAGTACGAGCAGAACAATCAAGCAGTGCGTAACGCCGGGCGCTGAGCCGACACAGTAGAATGAGATGCATATCAAAACCATTCTCTGTCATTCTAAGTAAAACCTATAAAGCGCTTTCGTCCTTGGAATAGTTGTAAGCGTTTGTAAAAATTTAATCTACGAGCCCCTTCCCAGTTCAGTTGGCCCAACTATTAAAATCTTAGTTTTTTTCTTATCAAACACAAATAATAAAAATGTAGCAGGGTGTTATAGGTTTAAAATATTAACAATTAATATTTTGATAATAGATAGTAGAAAACACCAAATTTGTAGCATAAAAATAACACATGTTGCAGTTACAGCATATCAACCTATTTCCATTTCAATGCAAAATAAGTCTATAACGCATAGGTGGCTGTGCGAAATAGAAGCCATGACAATTGTTTTTATTAATCATAGCTGTCAGAAGACGTTTAAAATAGTTTTGGGCAGTTAAGGTGTTCAAAATGGGTAGAGAAAACGTTATTAGTGCGAAAATTCGGTTACTGATAATTAAATTTTTTAATTCTGGGAAATCAAACTGAGAAATTGAAACTTTGTTAGACTTATCGCGGTACAGTGTGAGAAATATTGTTAGAAGATATAACGTAACTGGTTCAGTTAATATTAAGCCACGATATGTGAAAGAAAGTAATATCACAAATGCCGACCGAAGAGCATTAAGAAGCATAATCGTGAAAAACAGGCGTGCCAGTTATTTACAATTAAGTGCTCTGTGGAGTGACGCTGTTGGAAGGAGAATTTCGAGGTCCACAACTCATAGAGAGGCCCACAAACTGGGATTTAGCACTTGCAAGGTATGTTTTCTTATAAAAAAGAGTGAAGTAAAAACCCTAAAGTTGCACAACTTCTTTATAGGCTAAAGAAAAGCCACTATTAGCTCCACTGCAAAAGAAAAATCGGCTTAGATGGGCTAAAGAACATAGAGGATGGACACCTCAACAATGGTGTGCAATACAATGGAGTGATGAGGCCCGCTTCGAAGTTTGTGTTGGTGACAGTCGCAGTAGAGTTATTCGCAAAAAAAAATAGGCATTCCATATTGACTATCTGAAGAGAAAAGTGAAATTTCCAGCATCCATTATGGTCTGGGGCAGTATGTCATCAAAAGGAGTACATAAAATCGGGACCTCTGACAATCACATTAAAAAAAATCAGAACACACAAACACCCCATAAAATAGATAGGTATACAAGTTTAGGATAAAAAGAAACATCTGTGAATGACACTAACCAATAGATGAAGACAATTACATCTTTAAGTAGCATACCTCTTTGTAAAATTGAAACATTTAAAAGATAAAAGAGCTGATTAAGTAACATGGATGCTGTTGTCAGTTCCTTAGTTCTTACTTCATAATCGAAGCGGGCCGCGGTTATTCTGAAAGCCGTTAATCTGCGACACGATTTTGATACCACCTCACGACCGCACGATAAGAAATACAATATAACTGGAGGCGAATCGAAAAAGGGAAAACAATCCCTTTAAGAGCATCGAAATCACAACAAATTGCGCATAAAGCAGGCGAATTGAGAAGTCGCATCCCGACATTGCCGAGAAAACTACCTTTTTAAGGAACATCAGCATTCAGTTCGTGGTGGACCGGCGAGCTTAAGCAGAGAACGAACCATTTTATATGAAATGCCTGCCTGTGTGATTGCCCCGTTGCGTTGGCGCTAGCCCTCTTATTTAAAGCGGTCATATCCTTTATCTTAGAACATACAGAGTCCTTGTTTGCATTAGAATCACTCAAGTGAGTCTCTTAGCGGCCAGATATTTGCGAGTATTCACGAGGTATTGTGAAAGTCGCATAGCGAAGATTGAGTATCTTTGCCTAGCTATTAAGTGGCCACCTTGAATTTGGCCTAGAGCATGACATTGAAGATTAAATCAAGGACAATATGATTTCTTTTTCTTAATGACAATCTATACTTTTAACCCCTAAAACGGATAGCACGGACACTTGTACGGTTAGAAGAAAAAGAAAATAATTGACCTCGAACGCCTCAGACTAAGAATTAAACCTTAGGATACTACTATAAAAAAATTGTCTAATATCATCGTCCCTTTTCAAGAATAGTCTGTGCCTTGGTGTCAAGGTCAAATTCAAGGTCACCACTAACCAGGTTGAATAAATAAACTCAAACTTTTATTTTTATTCTATCTAAATATAGTGTGGATGTTTGTCCAGTTCCTGAACAACCAAAACATATTTGACTATGGATGTATGGATATCAAAAATCCTGAATGGTTTTGTTGGAATATCAATCGACGATGCAATGAATGAATGTTTGGAAACGAGCAATATCTATGAAATTTTTGGTAGAGCCTATCATGAAATAGGTACTTAATGGCTATCTGCAAGAGGTTTATAGGAAAAGAACACACGGTAGGTGATGCTAAATCAATAAAAA